GCATGCCAATGCTGTCAAAGACTCTTACTTTCCTAGGTCCAGTGTGCTTGTTTCTGCTTGTTTCTGGTATAACAAAGCCTCGGGCAAAGAAATGGGTATTTTTTTTCTTTTTTTTTTTTAATTAGATAGGATGCAAGCTGTTACCATCCCGAACAGAGAAAGTTCTAATTTGCCAAGAAACATAATGACCTTTACTTCCCCCTGTGAGAAGATGCAAGACAAGTGTCTGTAGTGGTGGTTGGTAGAGGTGCAAAAGACAACACCCATCCAAAACTCTAGTGACAAGCTGCACCTCCCTTCCTCTGGTTGTTCAGGGTAAAGATCAGTGTTGCTAGAACAAATCATAATGACTGGCCCCATCTCATCCCTGTTCTGATGCAGTTCTATGATTCTAATTGTTAGCTGTGTGATGCTGGTGTCTTAAAAATGGTTTTAATTAGTGTATGTGTATATATAATGTAAACTCTTTCCCCCAGCCCAATGGAAACTTGCATTTCCATTAAACTAATGTGAGGATGTCCCGGATGTGGGATGGTTTATCTGCTGTGCAATGAGCCAGGCTCACACACAAGAGAGACTGATTCCTGTTTGTGCAAAGTAAGGTGCTATGTGTTAGTTCCACAAAGGCAGCAGACCCTCAGCCTGCCAGCTGCCCTCTTCCATTTGTTAAACAGCAAAAAACACTGTCTTCTGCTTATGTACAGTCTGTAGCTACAATCACTACTACATTCTGTCTTGGCCTTTAAAGACACAGTTCATAGTTTTTTCACTGTGTATGTTACAAGAGCAGGGGTCTTTGGAGGCAAGGGTCTCTCAGGAGGTGCCATTTTTAATGTTACAATGAATCCGGTTCCTGTAGAGGCACAATTACCTCCTGGTTTGCTCAGCTTTTCAAAATTTAGCTCAGGAAACATTGTTTCCTAAAAATGGAGATTCTTAAGCTTTCACACACATCGCAGAACCTTAACTTCTTCAGTGCCAGGTAACAAGGTCACATCCACTTCTGCCACTAAAAAGATGAGCAGCCCCTGAAGTCCTTATGGCACCTTATGGATGTCGGATGCCCAAGTCCTCGTTTTGTCCACAGAACACATGGCAACAAAGACTGGAACCATAAACACTAGTAATGCGTTTGCTAAAAAACACTTTTTACCAGTCCCTGGATTTCTCTTCCCTCTGCTGGGAAAAGTCATTTATTGCTCCCAGCAAACCTTGGTCCCTGCTGTGGCAGGAGGCCAGGATGAATACGTTCTTCTGCTGCCATACCGCCCTGCAGCATCGTGCTAAACCCCACCGGCTTCTCTGCTTCGGTGCTGCACACCTCTGCTGCAGCAGCGCATCGCTCCCCTTAGCTGCAGTGACTGACTCTGTCTCCTGTGTCGCTGGGGGAGCTCCAGCTCTATCACAGCGAAGATGCAGAGCAGCACAGCAGGCAGCAAGAGGCTGTCAGGTAAGCACAGCATCACCTTTATATGCAACAGAAAGGCTCCTGCTGAGGAGGGACATGGATTCAGCCCCCTCTGCTAAGCATCTCAGCCTTTCAACCTCCACCCTGGTTGGCAAGATGTACCTGGGTGCTTGCAGTCAGGGACACCCCTGCTGGCAGCAGCAGGAGTACCAGGACACTTACCACATGGGGAAGGAGTCAGACAAATACGGGAAAAGTAAGCCTTAAACCCCCTGCGCAGTGATGGCCCTTTCCATCTTCCCCATGCACTCCTAGTTTTGCTCTTACGCTGGACACCGGGCGCCCACGAAGCGCAGTAGTACTTCCCTCCTCAGCATGACAGTAGGGAAGAAAGCAGGATGAAAGGAAGTCGTGAGTCCAAACAAAGGCAGTTCAATAAGGGAAAAGCAAAGGTAAGCACAAATACTTACTCTCCATTGCGCATCAGCAGGCACATACAGCTGCTGCCTGGGAAGCAGGGCCTCTGCACATGGAGCAGCTGGTCCAGAAGGCAAACACTTTAACAACAAATGCCCCTGGCTTGCTCCGTTCTCTTGTTGCTGATTATGATATCATATGCTACGGAATGTCCCTTTGGTCAGCCTGGGACAGCCGTCCTGGATCTGCCCCCTCCCAACCTCTTTCCTGCCCCCACCCACTGGGGCAGGGGAGCTGGGGAGGCAGCCTGGGTGCTGTGCTGGGAGCACTGCCTGGCACCAGCACCCTGCCAGGTACTAACACTCAGCACCACGAGGGATGCTGTTGGAAGGGGAGCTCTGTCCCAGCCAGGCCCAAGGCAGCTGGAGATCCCCATGGAGGCAATGGATTTAGACACAGACACTATCCTGAATCAGTTCAGTATTTAGCATGGACATGGGTGCACATCCAGGAAGCAGACTTTATAGATCTGCCGTGTCAGTAACTGAAACTACCTTCAATTTTAGCTCCATTTTTCTTTCCTCCTTCTAGCACTAAGTGTACAGGTGTGTAGAAGCAAAGTTAGCCATGTAAGCCCCTATTTGTAGGGAATTCCAATGGAAATCATCGAGGCAAATCATCTTTTGAGAGAGATATTTTATATATTCAATATATATTTGGGAGAGAATAATTTATTATTAATAATAAATCATAAAAAGGTTTCACTGTGAATTTCACAGGGTTATTATCAGACTGCAAATTGCATCTAATGTAACATCAGAATACATCCTCCTCTCAGACACTGGTGGTGTCTGGTAGTAACGAGTGGGCACAGAGGGGATTAGAATGACCTCCACCCTTAAGGGACACATGGGATGCTGAAGACGACAAGGAAGCTCTGACATACCTGGAGCCCTTTCACAGGCTGTAGAACTTTACGGGACCATTATTTCTACTCTTCCATTTTACTCTCTCCTGCTCAGCCCCCATGTTGTGCTGCTTGTTGCTCAGAAGCAGCACCTGACTGCACCTCCTTCTCCTCCTGCTTTTTGGCCTTCTATAGACACCAGCAGACAGAAATCAGGCCCATTACAGGCCAGGTCCTGCTCTCCCTCGTGTCTAAGCAGTCCCTGAAGCAGGCTGCCAGGTTTCAGGACTTCAGAGAGGAGAAGGCAGTCCCAGGTACCCTGTCAGTGACAGGCATCCTGCACTTGAGCACTGCAGTCCCCCACAACTGCATGCCATCCACATGCAAGAGGCAGCAAGTGCTGTAAAGCAAACCTTTCTCAGTGACAGAGCTGTAAACCTAACCTCCACAGCTGTCAGACAGGAGTATGCTTTCAAACTCAGACATTTAAAGGTGCAAACAAGCTGAGGTAATTCACGTCCTCTCCTGACAGCATCTCAGCCTGGGGATCACCAATAGCACTTGCCTTTCTGGGATGCTAAGACCAGCGTCCCCTAACTACCCATCAACCCCGACTTGCTGACGCAGGCACCCTGAGTACAAGCCCCCTCTTCAGTGGCTGGGAGATGCCCAGGGACTCCCACCAGGAGCGCTGGGGAGAAAATCTCTCCGGAGAGAAGGCAACCTCAGGCAGAGGATGAGCATCCCCTTCAGTAGACTGCAGAAAAATGCCTGCTCTCATCTGCCACCATGCAAGTGAAGACACAAGGACTGTCACCAGAAGTTGTCCCCAGCATCCCCATAAAAGTCTGAGCCACACACTGCTCTCTCACAGCTCTATTTAAAGCTTCCTGAAAGGGCTGGAAGAGCTTCCAGATGAATATGGGTGGAAGGGCTTCCAGATGAATATGAAAGACAAGGTTCAGGCTTGGAAGGAGACCAACTAACACTGACACTGAAAAGCTTTGCATTCTGAACAGGAGACTTCTGCAGCTAATCCGGGACCCCGGCTGCCTCAAACACTGCCAGATGACATCACAGCACACCGCTTCCCACCCCTTCTTTCTCATGAATTTATGCCAACCACATATTCATTCACTGGGATACTTGCTTGGAGTTTTACAGTAAATGATGGGATAAGTTTCCTTTCCCAAGCTGTTTAGCCAGACTGAAACACTGGCAAGCTGTCTCTTGTTTACTTTCTGAAGGCAGTTTGCAGATAGTAGCAAGAATTAACGTAGGAACGGCAGGCTCTGTTTATGACAGTAACTCATTCAAACATACACATCACACTTGGTTAGCATTATTTCCTCCAGCTACGTGGCACATGACGTCCTCTCTCTTTGAGAATAAAAGCTGCAAAAGCTGCCACATGACAGGAACCTTTCACTGAACCACCGAATCTCGGACAGGACAGGCCTCAGGTTACACACACACATACCTGACAGGCACACCTGAAGTGCCCATCAGCACTGCTCCAAAACTGGCTTCATAAAAAATGTGGACAACAAATACGTTCTAAAAGGAAGCAGATACCAAAGGGACCAACTCCAAGAAAGCCAGAACAAGAACTAGTAATTACCATGAACTATGAGGATTTTCCAAGGAATAGTTCATGAGAGGGTGGTAATTTTTACCATGTCCACAAGAAGTGAAATGGCAAAACAGTAAAACTGAGCCACAGTTACAGACAACTGTGCAAACCAGATTAACTGATGTGTCCAGAACCTAGGTTTTTATTTTATGAGCTATTGTTGGACAGTTTGAACACCAATAAGCAATAACGTCCACAACAGGAGACAGCCGAGAACCTAATGATGTAAAAGGTTACACCTTCACCTCTGCATCAAATGTGGAGTATTTTCAGGGAATTACAAGCCCGCAGCTTGCTTCCTACATGGTAAAACTACAGCCTTGCATTATGTAGAAATGCTCATGAAGCTTGAAGTACCCACCCAGTAACTATTTTAATGACACAGATTTCTACAGTTTTGAATTTATTAATTCAGCTGACAACAGTGTAGTAATTGGAAAAAAGCTCTTCTCCTTGCTTGATGTCTCTGAGAGTGACAAGCACAATGCACCGCAGGAGGCTATAAGAAAGGAAAAGCAAAAAATGAATTATTTTATTTCCCTTTTTATTTTTTTTTAACTTTCCATGGCAAGGAGCTAAAACAATGTCTCTGGATTACTTCTGGGAGTAATATTGTCCTGGGTTCAACTGTAACAGTCATTTTTTTCTCCCTCCCAGTAGCTGGCACAGTGTTGTGTTTTGGCTTTAGTCTGAAAACAATGCTGATAACTCACCAATGTTTTAGCTGCTGCTAAATAATGTTTACTCTGATCAAGGACTTTTCAGTCTCTCATGCTCTGGCAGTGAGGAGGGGCATAAGAAGGCAGGAGGAAGCAGAGTCAGGATCCCTGACCCAAACTAACCAAAGGGGTGCTCCATACCACAGCATGTCATGCCCCGTCTGTAAACTGGGGGCAATTACCTGGAAGGGCAGATCGCTGCTCGGGTTGGGCTGGGTATCAGTCAGTGGGTGGTGAGCAATTGTATTGTGCATCACCTGTGTTTATTGGTTTCTTTTCCTCTTTTAGTTTTATATTCTCTCTCATTATTTCCCTTATTATTTTTCTTTATTATTAGTAATAGTAGTAGTAGTTTTATGTTATACTTCAGTTACTGGACTGTTCTTATCTCAATCTGTGGGATTTACATTCTTTCAATTCTCCTTCCCATCCCACCCAGGAATGGGGGAAAAAGAGGGAATGAGCAAGTGGCTGCATGGTGCTGAGTTATGAGCTGGGCTTAAACCATGACATGTATGCATAACACAGGCCAGGGAGCCTGGAAAAACAACACTGAAATACAGATAGCAAGTATAAGCAAAACAATATAATTTCAAAACATAAAATAAAACGCACAGCCTCTGTGGGTATACAAATAACTTTTCAACTCACACAATTATTCAGAAATGAAAAGAATTAGTCAAGACAGAAAAAGACACACAGACAGAAGCTACCGCAAGGTTGACGGAGCAGAAATCATTCCTCTAGACACACCTACAGGTGCTAGTTGGCTAAACCCACTCTCTGTAGTTCACTCTCTGAACTACATCAGAGACCTGCTGCAACTGAACAGTGATGAGCAAATTCTCCACAAACCCTAAGCTCAAATCAGTGGCTGGCAAACAGTTTTCTTAGAGAGATTTGGGAACCCACCCCTCCAACTTCTTAAGTAAATGTCCATGCTCTAAAGCAGAGTATGTACCCCAGGAAGGAGAGCACATTCTTCTGATGCCAAGGAACATGAAAGTGAAGAACAGCATCAACCCATGCAGCCCCTACCACTCAGAAATACAGTGTGAGGCCATTCAAAAAAAGGTAAATAAGTACTAGGGACTCTTTTACAACACAGAAAAAGATTTAGAAACCAGATTACCTACGTTGTCAGTACTGTAAATATCAGCATCAAACAAGCAGCTGGAAGCAGATGGGATGTTCCATCTAACAGGTGTACACTGAGAGAACTGATGACTGAAATACTATATTTTCTTGGACAGATTCCAAGGAACAGAGCGAAATTTCCCCTTCCTGAAATGGTGCCATAGCTTAGCTCTGCTCATGTGCTTTCACACTTCAAGTACAACATTCAGGCTTCCTGAAAGTTCAGTCTCACAGTTTTAATTTTATTAGCATTTTTTATTTATTTGCAGATTGCTTGTGTCTAACCTTGCCTCAACAAATTCTAAGCTTATTCAGAAAAGCCAGTTTTCCAGTATGCACCGTAAGTTTTTCCAAGCAAATTTCAAGGGTTTTAAAATAGCCCCAGAATTACATAGGAAGTCTAGATGATCCGCTTTAAAATCCTTATACATCCTCTCTAAGCAATTTCTTTTTTGTATTAAATTAATCACCAACATTACAACTTACTTTGTCACAGCTTCAAAGTTATTGACTACATCCCAGTACAGGACACTCAGGCATACTATCTCTCCTTGTTGTCCACACTGCTCCTTGTACATATTCACCTAATTGTTGCTTTTCCCACATTTCCAAACAGAAATCTTAGAAAGGTTTTTAGATGTTTTAATTTCTAAAAGAGGTGCATTTTCAGGTCATAATGAGGATGTTGTAATTGTGCAGTGTAACTACAAGTCACATGCCTTTATACTGCAGAGTATTTCACTTGTCTCAATACAAATTACTATGAGGAGGTATTTTTTGCAAATTAATCTGCTTACTTCTCACATAAGCAGAAGCCATGGAAAACAGGAGTGTAAGAAGCCTACATCTCAACTACCTTAGAAGGGCTTTGATTGGTCAAGGGTTGCTAACTGCATTTGAAATACATACTCAAAAACCTTGGCATTATGACACAAGCAAAATATAACTAGTGCCTCACTGGATTCAGAAGAGTCACACTACAGTGTAACCACTGCCTGTAAAAACATGTCTTCAGAGCTATTCTGATCTCATTTGTAAAGATGTGGAAAAAGGAACAAAACCAAATAGTCTCATAAATCACTTAAAATTAGTATACTCAAAGAGCTACGTCTTTTCATAGAGGTGCACACTTCGTGTAACTCATTTTCATACGGAATAACATTATTCTTCAACAAAGTTTGTCTTTTTTACACATGCAGTATGTTTTGTATCACACAAATCTATGAGCTCTTTGATTTTACAGCTAACCTCTCTATGTCGTGGCTGTAGACAATGTTTGGAAGATACTGTTTCAGTTCTATTGGAAAATATGCTGGCACATCAAACTCCTGATAACACACGTTGGCTGCTTTTTCTAGAAACAAGAAAAAAAGAAAAAAGGTCTCTGTGATACTGAGAAAAATCTCAGACAGGGTTTAAAGATGTGTAAAACCATCAAATGTACTGCTGCAAAAGCACCAGATGCTTCACCAAGCCTGAAAACCATGCCTCTGTTGGGAGCTACTACACCCCTCTGAAGTCCTACTTTGAACTAACACAAGATATGCACAACCAACTATAAGAGCTTTAATTCATCCTTACTGCATTCAACAGGTTACCTGATTATCAACATGTGGATGAAGGGGCATAATTTTGCGCAGCACCAGGGGTAGCTCTCTGCACTGCTAAATGTTGTTAATATACAACATCTGCTTTCATAGGTGAAAAAAGAAAAATCTTAAAAAAATAATTCCTGGTGGCAGAATATGTCATAAATAAAGCCAGGGATAAAGGTCACCATCTGCCCAGCAGGAAGAAGAGAATTTTCCTTACATGGACATTAAGCCTGAGAAAAACAGCTTGATGAGATTGCCTTTGTTTCCATACCAGTTTCCTAGCATACCTGACTTGCTACTCCGGCAACCCTTCTGGATGCTGCCTGGAGGCAGGGTATTTTTAGTGTAATGGAGGCTCTGAAAGGCACTTAGAAGTAGAAGGTATGCTAGCAGTTCAATCTTCTGAATCACAACCATTCCCATGAGTTCTTTATTCCCCCAGACCTTTAAGACCAACACATACTGCATGAGATAGAGTAAGTGAAGAGTTTCCTTCATGCCCAACAGCTAGACCATACCAACAGTTTCCTAGATTTTGCACATAAACATAATGAAGTCTAAAAGAAGTTTTATAGTTCAAACTAAGCAGTGACAGAATCTTACTGTATATGTCACTTTGCGTATGGTAATTTGATCTGTAACTCTGTGTGCTGCCTCAGCTATACTGTCCTTTGCCAGATACCCTTTCCCACCATCTCGCATTTTGGGATGTGTGCCTTTAATTCTACATACCAGGATGGAGACTGGGGCAGTTGGTGAGAAAAGCACAAGAATATTTGAAGCATTGCTGCACTGAAGGATTCTAACACCCAGCTGCCACAAAAGATCTCAAAAACTTTTTATCCCATTAAGTGTTTGCCTTGTTTTAAACAGCACTACTGTGCCCAGCATCTGATTCTCTGTATCACTTCCAAAATAATTTATATCCATAAACACAAACAGGAAAATTCTCCGGGCAACTCACCGTGTGAGCAGTTGTTGACATACTGTCCCACTGCCAGTGGGTTCTGAGGGGCAGCTGTGAGCCAGCTCTCATCGCTCATCTGAAACGGGCCAAGCTGGTCTCTTCTGCAGCAAGACCTGTAATGACCAACAGCCTTAACAGGAATCCCTCCTTCACTTAAGGTTACCTGTACTTCCTACTGCAGAAATGGCCATGATCACCAAGCAAAGCCATGGCTGTCCAATCCACCTGGGAGACAGGAAAGCACTAGGGATGTATGTGTGTGTGTGTGCACGGATCAGCACCTCGCTGATACTTTCAAAGTACATTTATACCTCCCACGAGTGTGTGGTGTCTTTCAGACTCTGGTGGAAGAACCAGTACGAGAGCACGACATGCAGTTCCAGAAATCAGCATCAAAAGTTACCATTTCAGAAGTGTCAACACATCTCATCCACCACTAAAATGTGAAGGATCATTACAGTATTGACTTCAAACACATTCCTGGAATTAAAATCTGGTATTAGTTAGGTATCACTATTCAAATTAGGTATTATTTTAGATCATTTTGCTTGTTATTAATTTTATTTTTCATGTCATATTTGAACACAACTTGCTACAAATTATACTTCCAGGTAAGCTAAAACAGTCCAGGCCAGCTGGGTCAGGGGAATCCAGACTGGACATTAGGAAAGGGTTCCTCATTGAGAGGTGGTCCATCACTGGAACAGGCTCCCCAGAGAAACAGTCACAGCACCAACCATGTCAGAGTTTAAGGAGTGCCTGGACAATGCTTTTGGTCATATGGTTTAGTTTTAGGTAGTCCTGCAAGGAGCAGTGAATTGGACCTGATGGTCCTTATGGGTCCCCTTCCAATGTGAGATAAAAATGATTATCATTATTGTAAGAGTTACTGATCCATTCCTAAATGCTCTTCACCTGTAGACAGTGCCAGAGGTACCAGTCACCTTTGTGGTATTAGCAGGTGCACATAGAGGCCTTTTAGTTTGGGTTTTGTTTTTTTTTTTTTATACACTAAGCAGATTTGAGTAACAGCTCAGAAGCATTTAAAATTTTTTATGCTACATCCTGTTCCTATTAAAACTATTTTCTTTACAGGGAAGTTTTTGTACATCAAGACACCTTTCACTCGTATTACAGATGAAGACACAAGGAGTACATAAAGGATCCCACCCTGGTGCATATAGATAGATGATACTCAAATATAACTCGATTTAGCATACAAAAAAGCGAACTGAGACTATTAGTACCACTATTTGAAATCAGTTGAGTGGCATTGCCCCATTTCTTTTGACTGCTTACCTGTACACTGATCTTGATAGTCCTTTATCATTCCCATCAATAAGGACACCATCTATGCACCTGAAAATAAAGGGATTGCCAAGGGACTGGAAAAAGATGGGCTCATGCTTTCTGTATACTGTACCTGTTGCAAGACAGATATGGTTATTTCAGAAGAAAGTAAGTTAATTGTCAGAATGGGCTTATGGTTTCATGCACTCCCATCCATGCAGAAATTCAAAGGAGACAGAGGGGATAGAATTCCTCTCTTAATTAATAACATTAACACTTGTAACCTACAAGCTTTTAGACCCATTTTGTGGGATGCAAAAACATGCAACCCTACATGAGCTGAGATATTCCAAAGAGAAAAGCCACTGAAGGAAATCGTGAAAACGATCTTTGTCCAGAATCAGTGTGAGAGGTAGATAAAACATCATAGCCAGCTGGTCTGCTTTGTAGAGGAAAACATGAAGTGAAGTTTGTTTAGGAAAGTGCAGCTGCATTGTTACTCCTGTGTCAGGAGTCTTTGAGAAGCACACACACAGACAGCGAAAAACCTGAAACACCCCCCTCCACCACCCAGACTGGGGAGTTTGTGTGGAACAGCAGAGAGAAATGACAAACCAAGAACAGACAAGTTATTTCAGCAGAGCATTTCTCAAGACAGAATTTAACCTGCCCTGGGTGCCAAGCAAAGAGAAGTGACTGCAGACTAGCTTGCAAGTTTTCATGATATTGCAGTCTTACATCTCTCACACCCACTGCATCTTCTACAACCCTTTGCAGAAATCCTTCACTGCTATCTCACAAGGAGCTAGGTGAAGGCCTCGCCAGCAGGCTGCACTTGATGCCAAACAAGCAGGAGAGCACTGACCTGTTCTCTCCACAGGGTCCTTTCCCCAGTCAGCAACCCTGCAGCTTCCTTCATGCCCCTGAAGAAGGAAAGCATGGCAGCAGCTCATCCTGTATTGCTACATGAGCTATTACTGGGGACTCTCAATAAACCTAATCTCACATTTATCATGTGCCTGAAATTTGAAGAAAATTGAAAGGTGGCAGGCTCATTCCGTGATTGTCATTTGATCATTAGTCGGTTTACTAGTCAGTGGTAATGGCCACGCTCCTGCTTTGCCATGGCAAAAACATGCTCCGCTGCCCAGTGCTTCAACTGGTCTTGACTGGCAACACTGGCAGAAGTGAGGGACCACATGCAAAAGACAATTCTATTGACAGATGAAGCAGAAACAAACCCAAAGCACTTCAGCAGAGCTGTCTTAGCTTGACCATCCTGGCAGAATTACAATTTTTTTAAATGTAAACAAATACAGGTCCAATAAGGAGGAGGAACAGAAAAATGCCGATTTTCCAAGTATACTTCATGGAAGACAGGGGGGTTGGAACTAGATGATCTTAAGGTCCTTTCCAACCCTAACGATTCTATGATTCTATGATTCTAAGACAGTTCTGCTAAATAAAGGTTTTACTTTCATTCTCCAATTTGCATTTTTGTGCTTGAAAAAGTTTATAGTCATGTCTGCTGATCTGTGTGGGTATCTCAAAACCTCATTCTCAGATCCCTATTCAACAGTAGCCCTCAAGAATTAAACTGTATCATTCATCCACTTGAAACTGCTCCCCTGCATCTGTGTTTCAAAAATGTGGAACAACTTTTCTAGCAGCCAAAAAATCAAACTTTGAGTACTGAAACCTGTTTGGGTTTTTGTTTTGTTTCTGTTTGGTCTTTTTTTTTTAATAAACAAAATTATCCCCCCTCCATATTGCCTAGCTCATTTCCAAATGAAAGTTAGCTTACACAGGTATATTTTCATTCACTGTAACTTGTGATTTTGTTAAGGGATGACAAAAATTAAAGCTGTGAAATAAAAACTAGTGCGGCACTTTGGCATTCTATAATCAGATGGTTAGAAATCACATCTAACGCAACCAGAAATAAGAATGCTGCATTACCAGGATACATAGATACAACCGTCCCCTTTGGTACAAAACCTCTGGTAACAAAGACTCCACTTCCAGCAGACACCAGGGAACTTCGGTCCCGGCTAACCATGAACCCTAGTGTATTAAACAGAACTTCCTCTGGACTAAACACATGTTGATTTAGATGGTTACATGAGTGTACTTTTGATAGCTTCTGCTCCGCAGTCAGTAACTCCAGGTATTTATGTTTGATTTCTGGAAGAAAGGCCAAAATATGTGCTTGTCTACTGAAGTCATTTATGAACAGAGCTTTGAATATTTTCAGTAGTGTTTCAAAGACATCTTCATCAGAGATAATCTTGTCTTGGGAGCTTTCAGGAACATATCGGAGCGTCCTGTAAGAGAAAAAAGGAAAAAAAATGGTATTTTAAAGTTATATTTATCTTAAATAAAATATAGAAGAGCGATTTCACAGCAGAAGCTTATATGCACTGTTGGTTTAAACAAACAAAAACTCTAAAAAATATTCTTTCATGCCCAGACTACTATAAAATCATCATCTGTGTATTTGCAGCAAGACAAGTAGGTTAAACTGAGCTGTTAATGACAGGCATACCAAAACCAAAATATATGTGATTACCTAAGTTTACGTACGGCTCATTACACTTCAAATGAGGTGAGGACAAACATTATGCTGACTAGGGAGACTGATTTATGCTACATATAACAATGGTGCAGTCAACTTCAAGCACTACTTTCATGCTTAAAAAGAGAACACACAAAACAAACCAAAAAACCTTATCTACCTAGGTTTAACATTGAATACCACTTCAAAGTATCCCAGTATTAGAATTTTAGGCAAAAACACATAAAAAAGCCCCTACATAAAACACACACACACAACCCCCAAACAAAAAACTATCTGCCTAGATTTAACATTAACTACCACTTCGAAGTATGCCAGCGTTAAGAGTTTTAGGCCAGTGCAGTGACACACAAGGAGGAGCCACTCGCAAAACCCCCGGTGGAAGACACCAGGCAGCTCCTCAGCTCATGCTGCAAGCGTGGTCTCGGCCACAGCAGCTCCTCGCCCCCTGAGGAAAGCTCCCACCCTGCTCCAAGAGCTACTCCAGGCCGAAACACCCTGCGGGAAACCCACCAGCCGTGGCTGTCTCCACTTCACGCCGCCGGAAGGCAGAAAGGACGGCGGGACAGACCTCCCCGCTACCCTGCGGCGCTCAGGACCCTCTCCTCCGCCTCACCTGCGCTTGCGGCGGAGGTTGAGGGCCAGCCAGGGCACGAAGCGGTACTTGTAGGAGTCCCACCGCCGCCGCAGGCCTCGCAGCATGGCAGGAGACGAGCGGCACAACACCCCTCACCTCTGCTCCCTCACGGCCGCCATGGCCACCGCGCCCGCGAGAACGGCCCAACCAATCACCTCGCCGGACGGGCGGTGCCCTCTGTGCGTACGGAGCTACCATTGGTCTTTTAGGTCCAACGGCTGGCGTGGTTCGGAGGAGCCGGGCAGGCCCCGGGCTCCGCGCGTGGGCCGGCGAGGTGCCGTTACGGGGTTGTTAATTACGCGTTAAAAGAGGGTCGAGTTAGAGTAGGGTGAAGAAGTCCTCCGCTGAGAGGGAGGTGGGGCACTGGCGCAGAAGAGGAGCCAAGCGGTGATACATTGCAAACTGAAATAATTGAAGGAAATAAAGGGAAACGGGGTAGCCGCTGACTCATCAGGCTTCCCTGCCACCTGCTGGGCTTCCCTCGTAATAACAGGGGAGAAAAGTCAGGATTCGCAACTTGCGCATTCCAGCAGCTGCGTGCCATAGTGGAGCAGCGTGCGCCGTACGCGCACAGTGTGGTTCTTAAAAAGCCTTTCACATTCGTGATTCAGCGCAGCAAGGAACACTAAGCAATGGGAGAAACTTTAGTAAGGGAGGTACAGTGTCCAGGGAGGTGGAAATCAGGTCAGAGGAGCCACACATCCAAGCTTCCCACTCAGATGGTGATGAGGAAATACATGGTCATCATGACACCCCAACATGCTCTGGAACCTTTCAACAAGAGCTTGTGAAGCTGAGACACTATCAGACTTCAGCTTGTGAGGAACACTGAATGTAATGTTACTCCCACCAGAAAAACCAAAGTGGGCCTAGTTTACTACTTGCCTTCAGAAGAACTGAACATGCCCTTTGCAAATGAAGACGCTTGTTTCTCTAAGTAGGTGTCTTTGACATTTACAGTTGACTGCTGGGACAGTGATCTCTGCCATTCCTTGTTCCTAAAAAGGAGACTGCAACACTGCAATTACCACACAGTACTGTAAAGATTCAGTTCTGTAGTAAATCAAATAAAGGAAGATACACTAGACTCAATTTATATTTAATCCTTATTACACATTTTCCTTCTTGGTATTTCAGTTAGGAGATTTTTCTGATTTTAAAAACCAGGTATTAGAAGATTTCTGTTGCCATGTTTTGCTGGTGAATTGATACATTCATTTCTATTTGGAGAAAGTCACATAAATAAGGGAGACTGTAAAAAGAGTGATCATGGAAGCATAGAATGGTTTGGGTTGAAAGGACCTTAAAGCTCACCCAGTTCCACACCCCCTGCCCTCGGCAGGGATGCCTTCCAGTAGACCAGGTTGCTCCAAGCCCCATCCACCCTGGCCTTGAACACTTGAACTTTGCTGGGTGCTTTTCTGGGCACCCTGTGACAGCTCCTCAGCACCCTCACAGTAAAGAATTTCCAATTTCTAATCTGAATCTCCCCTATCCCAGCTTAAAGCCATTCCCCCATTGACTTGTCATTACTTGTAAAAAGTCCCTCTCCAAATTTCTTGTAGGCCCGTTTAGGCACTGGAAGCTGCTCTGAGGTCTCCCCAGAGCCTTCTCTTTTCCAGGCTGAACAAGCCCACCTCTCTCAGCCTGTTTCTATAGAGGAGGTGCTCCAGCCACCTGAGCATCTTCATGGCCTCCTTTGGACTTGCTCCAACAGGTCCATGTCCCTCTTGTGTTGGGCCCCCCCAAGCTGGACACAGTACTGCAGGTGGGGTCTCATGAGATGTAGAATTTAGTCCTCACAAAAAAGGCTACAGAACACTGGATTTTTCACTATTAAAAATGGATTAATTTTAAAAATTAACACCCCCACCACAAAAAATAAAACAAACAACAAAACCAAGCCAACCAAAAAAACAACCTAAGACAAGCAACTGAAACAAGCTCTAGCTTTGCAATATGTATTCAGACGGTCTGAATAAGGAAAGGCTTATGTTTGCTACTTAAATCACAAGGAAAAGCATCATTTCACTGAAAACATGAAACAGCAGACTGACTTCCCACCTCAATGGCTCCAGAACTGATCTAACCAGATCAGCTCACCTGACTTGGTAATTAACAGCTACATTTGCAGCAATGCAAAATTTAGGCATTTCATGTTTTATCTAAGGAATAAGCAAGCAAGGTTCATAGCTACAGTGTTTCGTAAGAGAAATTCACACATTTATCAGTATTAAAAAAAATTAGTGCTTGTTCCTGCCCTTTAGTCAAGCATTCTTTGGTAAAACTGAGATATATCAGCCAATAATAATTAATAATTTGATGTTAGATTTAATATTAGATTTAATATTAGAATTAATATTAGAGTTAATGTTAGAGTTAATATTAGAGTTAATGTTAGAGTTAATATTAGAGTTAATATTAGAGTTAATATTAGAGTTAATGTTAGAGTTAATGTTAGAGTTAATGTTAGAGTTAATGTTAGAGTTAATGTTAATGTTAGATTTAATGGTAATGCAATTTAATATTAGAAACTAATACTGTGTATGAAAATTGTGTTTAAACAGTGAAGTGTACCAGAAATTTTATTCACATCAGTAAACTGAATGTGTTTACAATAAGCAAAGGACAAGATTTGTTCAAAAGCTTTTATTTACTATAAAGACAGAGACCACCAAAATACATACAAATTATACTATATAAAATTGGTTCAATGGGGTAAAAATTTTTAATTAAAATATCTTGATATATTTAAAATAACAAAGGATACAATGAAGCCAAATTTCTTAACCCAGAGATCTCTGTAAAATTTGCTTGCACAGTAAGGTGCTAATAGAAGTTAGCCCTTAAGCCCTGGAAGTCTTAGGAATCAGTCACATAGCAAATATAGTTTCATTGTGAAAGTGAACTTTGGTAGAAGAAACTCTATAGGACACCTGAGGTAGTAGAAACTGGAATAAACAGCAGTAGACGTTATTTACAACTTAAGTACCAAATAACATTAAGAACACGAAAAAATAATTACACGATACAATTTTCAGTCCAGCTTTGATCCAAAGAAAATAAGAATATTACATCACATCTGCATTTTAAAAACACCACAATTACCAGCAAGCCAGGGGAAATGCAAACAAACTCAAACAAATGCATTTGGACACCAAGAGGCAGTTTGAGTTTGAAATGTGGTAGGCATGGTGATCTACAAAGTAATACTGATTAGCTGAGGTTCATCAGTTTATACAGTTTACATTTCTGTCAGAAACAGTATTAATCTGACAACTGATCTTCCAGTACATGAATTGGCAAGAGTGCATCCTTTAAAGCTTGCACATAAGAAAGACTTGGAAACAATCTTTTACTAGAATGAGAAATTCTAAAGTGGTCAAAAAAACAAAAAAGTCAAGTACAAAACAGAGCTACCAAACTTCACATTTCAATAGTATCTTTTTAACTCTTCAAAGTCCACCAATCTTCCAAAACAAAGGAATGTAAAATTTCCAAAAGAAACACATTCACAACTAATGACACCGCTTTTTCTTTATTAGTATGAGCACTATCATTTCTGTAAACTTATCTTAAAGATGTTTTACTTCCAATTTGTGTTGTACATTTTTAAGGTACTATAGCTTATTTAGTTTGTCCTGAGTCTTTGAAATAACCAATTCTATTTCAGTCCAACAATCCAACTGGCTTCTGAAGAGTTAGAAGACAAACAGTATTTTTCTCCAAAAGGATTAAACACAATCAGTATCTGATTTAAAAAGATCCCCTTTAATAAAAGCAAAAGAAAAGCTGCCATTTTCCTTCAGAATTACATGCATCAGAATCTAAAAGCCTGCCTTTAAAATAATTTTAAAAACCTGTTTTTAAAAAAACACCTGCTAAAACCCACAAGTTTTGCACTAGAGGTGAAGCTTTACTTCACATTTTACTTTATCTTGCTTTTCAAGTCCAAGTTTGTTTCTTGTTAAAATAAATACCTTTCTTGTGGTAATATTTTTAACATTTTCAAATTAAATTATCACTAATGGCTACAGTAAATAGATGATGTACGGCAGAAGGAAAACAGCAGGTAAAACTTATTATCAGTAGAGAATGTGACCTCAGCTTTGTTACACAAAGAATGAGATTTGCTCATAGTTTGCACCTGCTCCCACTGAAGTACAGGACAAAGCCTCCCATAAATTTTAACGGGAGCTGGGTTTAGAGCCTTTGACATGAAACTTCTCTACATGATTTGCCAGAAGAAGCTGCTATATAAAAAGGCTCAGCAACTTTTAGCATGGTTCAGACTAAACTATTTATTTAAATAACCTTTACTATCAGAACCTTCAACACTACCTTGTTGAAGGTGGTATTTTATTCCAGATTTCCAGCAAATCTGTTTTTAAAACTCTTGTGTCACAATGATGTTCCATGACACAGCTTGCATCTTTTTCTAAAGACTATTTTAAAATATCCCCTTTATCTCAAAGTTAAAAAAACAATGAAAACAAACTAATTTCAAAAGAAATTACATGGCCAGCAGTAAATGCACAGTGACCCATAACTGTTTGACCGTACTTGAAGGAAGGCAAAATGTTTTTAAAGTATCCATCAATGTTTGGATTTGTTACTCAGAGAACTTTGTATAATTGAAAGGGACAAATACAGAACTTCCTTTTAACCAGTTCTGAAAACTGATTAATTGCAGAGCCCTCTGCTTACATCTACTGATGTAAAATAGAACAGCGATTGCTATATTAAAGTAGATCTTGAGCCCCTCAGCTACTAATATTGCTGAAAAAGTGCTCCAAATAAAATAAAAGTCACTTATCTGCTAAATAATCATGCAGATTTAAGGAAAAATGCTTTTGTGTTCACAAAAAGCCAGATATTTGAAAAAGGCACAGTTTACAAATCTTTGCACAAGTTGTGAAACATTGCATACTGAGCTTAGGTAAAGATCTTGATTTGTCAATCACATACTTAGATAGGGTCCTCTACTGGACTTAAGTCCTTGATGTATCTATTATTAAGGCCAGCAGAGTAACACAAGTTGCTGTGCTTAACTGCACTGTGAGACAGTTATTGTATATACAGTAGCATCTTCTTCAGTATGTCAGCCTTGTACGTAAGTAGC